TAGATATAACAAGTTGGTAACTACTACTAAATACTAATATTAATAATAAAGTAGACAATTAATAATAATAATAAAATAGTTTATTTTCTTCACAATACCAGTGGTATATCTATTATATCCAAGAGATTTATTTAAATCATAAATTTCTCGTTTGCCCCCTGTGTTGTAAAAAAAAAAAGTGGTTACCGTAGCCTATGAACACCTGCAACACCAGAGGTATTACGCGTGCGTTGCCGATCCTGAAGAAACCTTCTTACCCCCCTTTTGAAGAACCCCATGCTATAGTCTCTTGAGAAAACTTCGGCAGGAAGCTCATTCCACAACCTGAGTGTTCGTGGGTATATATATATAAATAAGTAATTTTTTTTTTTTTTTTGTTGGATGAAAATGGATTGGTAACCCCGCCTGTGCTAACGGATACGCTGGCGGAGCACCAGTGAAGGGTGATAGATGAGAATGAAAACAGGCCAGTTAGCCCATCATGATGAATTCATCAGGAATTAACCATGATAGTTTCCAGGGGGAACCACGAGGAGGTCGACCTGGTTGGGTATATTGCTAGCAATGGGATTTTTAGTCTCTATCACTAACAATCCCTTTCCCCCCTAAAATAAGTAATATTACTAAATATTACTCTTTTGAGTATTTTTATTTTATATTTAATTAGAATTATTTTACATAATACCATAAGATAACATCTAGTTCAGTAAAATATTTATTTTATAACATAGATTAATATTATTCATAGTCTTAAACATATTATGTATAGTTTCTACTATTATGTGAAAAAAAAAAATTGTTGGTATTTTGATTTTGTATCGAATTCTTTTCGATCCAAGGATTTATTATGTATAACATGATTTTCCTCGTCCTGCATTGATGTCTAGTGCTTTGTTCCCTTAATCGCCTCTCACGACATCCCGGGGATGAAAAAGGGATTGATGACATATTGTATTCTTCCTTCGTCGCCATACGGATAAAGTCATTATGAAATAAATAATTGAATTTTTTTTTCAACACAAAAATACTTAAGTTTAAATTATGAATCGTCGTGTTTAGGGTTTAATCTTCCTGGTATCTTTGGTCTGATGGATCAATGAACCTAACTTCATCCTCACTTATCATCCCTCACTGCACCCTGCTATCATATAAAAGTACAGACAACATTGCATTTTCATCTATACTTATCTTTTATCCAACATGCAGCCATAAAAATTAAGTCTTGAAAACTGAAATTTATAACTATTTTATAAGTGTTTGCTAAGAAAAAATCTTTAAAAATTTCTACTTAAACCGCAAATGCAAACGCGTGCAAAGTCGCGGACAACAGCTAGTCTATTTAAATGAACAAACAGCGTAAAGATCGCCGTTCTCATATAGAATTCAAATAATAAACATGACCGTATATATTTTTATGGATAACAATGGAATGGTAACCTCGCTTGCGCTATCGGTATACGCTGGCGGAGCACCAGTGAGGGACGATAGGAGATGATCAAAGCAGGCTTGTCAGCATAGCATAGTAAATACTACAAGAACTAACCAAGATGGTTCCCAAAGAGAATAAACCTGATAGGGTATATTTTTAGCAATGAGGCTTTTTTTATGGGTGAAAATGGAATGGTAACTCCGCCTGCGCTAACGGGATACGCTGGCGGAGCACCAGTGAAGGGTGATAGATGAGAACGAAAACAGGCCAGTTAGCCCATCATGATAAATTCATCAGGAATTAACCATGATAGTTTCCAGAGGGAACCACGAGGAGGTCGACCTGGTTGGGTATATTGCTGGCAATGGGATTCTCAGTTTCCATTACTAACAATCCCTTCCAATCGAAACCTTACAATTAGGTTCTGATTACTTTGCCCCAAACCGTGTATTGTTATTGTCTTCTAAATTAATTTACTTCTCTCATTCTATACACGTGTATTTATAACAAAATGACACTGTGATTACACAAAATATCATGTACATAATAAAGAAGTATATTACAAAGTAAATTTGCGGTAATAAAGAACAAAACACTCGATCGGCGACAATTTCAAGACAATAACTACACGATAACTCACTGTAGTGACTTCACGTCCGAACTGCACCCCCGTACGTTTCTACAAGGGAATTGAAACCGTACACCTATGTATTTAGGGATAGATTTACAAAATTACATAGTACGAGAATTATACCCCCAGTCACGCGACCCGCTTATTGGAAGAACAAAAATAACGTTATTAAGCATGAAACGTAAGAAATTACGATCACGACGTGTCCAACCGTATTACTATTATGATAATAAATTTTGAGGTATTCATGATCGTTCACAGATACGGATTTAAATGGATGGACGTAATTGTATGTATTTTTCGATTTTCACACGTCATACTCGTGAACGGGTGTTGCCTATAGAGACCGGTCTGCTCTGATTGCTGCAACCGATTTGTTTTATATATATATATATATATATATATATATATATATATATATATATATATATATATATATATATATATATATACTGACTACCCTATCATATATGCATACAATTTTTTATACTATTAAATGGTAATGAATTACTGAGTTCGTCTGATCGTAATAATCACCGCAGTCCTTGAACGTACAGGCTCTTGAAGCCAAAAAAATATTACTTATCGCACCTGCATTTCTACCATCAAGCAGCTGCATTTTCAAGGTTATATTTCGGTTTTGAAGGTGAGATATAGCAGTAAGATTACATGTTACGGAGGCATAACACCATATCCTTAGGCAATGCATTCGAATACAGCAAAAGCTTTTTTTGTTTAAATTCCTGCTAAATCTTTAGTAATCGTAGTTACAATTAAAGAGTCTTGTTTAAAAAGGGAGAATACGGGACCTTGGAGTTCCATTTTTTTTTTATACAACTTAGAATAGCAAACAAGCTGACGGCCCACCTGATGGAAAGTGGTAACCGTCGCCTATAGACATGAGCAGTACCATGGACATAACAGAGTATACTGTTTTGCCCATGATCCCCCCCATGCGTTGTCATTCCTGAGGACTCAGGTGTTATTCCTCTGTACCCAGTAAATTCACGCCATATCCCACCCTTCAAACCGAAACACACCGAAACACGAATGGGACAGAAGTACCCAAGCAATCGACTTTTGTACAAAGTCTCCCTCTGGTAGAATGTCTTAAAGGCCTGCTTATCTTACGATCTATTTTAACATTTATTTTGTAAAGGTCATTTCAGCACGACTGCCCCTTCAGCTAGATTAATTCGAAGCTTAAAGTATTTTATTTATATATAAATTTGGTGATTACTCAATTAGTACATGCACATTTTAATAAATACTAACTATTTGCCGTGGCTTCATCTGAACTCTGAACAAACCTTTTAATTTCCATTCATTGCTGTAACTAGGGGGGCATTAAGGGGCAATGCCCTACCTTAAAACGCCCAATGCCCTACCTTAAAATTGAAGGCCTCAAGAAAATTACACAGATTCGCTTTTTCAAAGTCACTTAATTATGGCTTCTGGTCTACCAAAAAGTTCTTTTGCCCTACCTTAAACCTGGGTCTAGCTACGGCCATGCTCCATTCCTTTTAGAATTTCAATAAATACGCAGTGTTAGTGATCGACACAAAAAAAATGCATATTTTTATGTTACTAATAACTTAGCATTCTATTATGGTAAACACCATTAACAAACCCAATTGATCACGAAAGGCAACAGTGAACTAACCCTCTTGGACTTTAAAGCCGACTAGCATCTCGCTCTGACTTCACTCGGTTTTTTAAAATAACTTAATCACTAATAATATACGAGTAGCTTTCTACTGGTAAAAGAATTTTTTAAATCGGTTAAGTTCCATTTGTGTTTATGTCGTGAAGCAGTTGTGTCTGCATAGCTGTAATTTGGTTTAAAGGAATACACGTTACAGAGGTATGACACCTTCTCAAAGTCCTCATGAACTTTGCCAATGCATTATGAACGACACAGTATACTCTGTTATGTTCATAGTACTGTCCATATCTATAGGCGATGGCTACCACTTTCCATCAGATGGGCTGTTAGCTTATTTGTCATTCTAAGTTGCATAAAAAAATAAGTATTTTTTTAGTTTTTTTATTACAAACAAAATAATGAAATTTTTAACTCTTTTATAATATTATTTTACATATCCTCAAAGAAACGTAACCAAATTAACTATACTAAAGTAACTACACCAAGAATAAATCACTAAATCAAATCTTTCAAATTAAAAAAGTGGATTTCTTAATCATTATTCACTATATTCTTTTCTAAATGGCATAAATCATTTACCATCAGGCGAGCCGCATGGTCGTTTGCTCCATATATTATTAAAAAAATAACCCCCCACTGCTGAATATAGTATATTCCATAGTGAATATAATCCCACAAGGCACAAGTCTTAACAATTACAACTTCTTAAAAAAAATATTAAATAAATATGAATAAAATTTATAGTAGATATAGTATACGATTAAATATAGATTATGATTGACATTAAACTATTTAATTTTCGTTCAAATTATGCATTCCCCATTCCATCAACCGTCAACTGTCCGCTGCTAAACATAGAGCTCCCCCAATAAAGGGGTTTTGCCAGTAGTTGTCACGCTTGGCAGGAGAGTTGGCAACCGCAAGTTAGACTTTGATGATGTATTAAGAGGGACGCTGCTACTTATCCCTCGCCCTCCAGGGATGGACACATCCCTCTGTCATTAAGTTATTCATAATGTCAGTAAAGTTTCTTAACTTTACCGTTTGCAAAAGGATAAACTCATGTATGCATTGTTGCAACTCTAGTATTTTTTTCTGAAATGTGTTTATGCATCGACTTGTTGCAACTCTAGGAACCTTTTTTCTCTAAAATTTGTTTGGTTTTTTTTATTTCGAAACACGTGTCTCAATCTCAACACCTAAATCATTATTCAAACGCTTAAAAATATGATACGTCACTAATGTATTATCTAAAAACTCATTATAATATCCAGTGACTCGACACGAGTCAAGTAAATTGATATTCTATTTATTATTAAAGAGAGATGAAATTAGAAATCACCACGTCTCAAATTTCGTCGCCATATTACCGAAATTATGGGATTACAGTGAAATGAAATAATACGGGAAACGCAGTACATTTTGTTCACAAATGAGAGTTATTCATCAGCTAGTTGGTGAAGAATGGAGCGTCCGCCTTCAGCGCCTAATAGGCCGACCGTCCGGCATTTCCACAACCAGCCCGAGCTGCAGAGGGGAGACAGCTTCGGCCTCATGCTGAAGTGGATTATCTTCGTGTGGTTAGCCAGCTGTGGACCACTGGGGAATACTGTCAAGCAAGAGGGTGAGTAATTTAATATTTGAATTAATGAAATGTATTGCTTAAAATGTAGTACAATAAGGTGATGTGTTAATATTGCATAAGTTGGTTTCACATATTTTGTCATTACTGACAAGCAGCAGTCATTAAAAAGTTATAAGAAAAGAAATCTTTATAGTAAAATGAATTCTATATTTAATCATATTTATACAAATTAAAAAATTTATATCTATACCTAAATATTATTTTCAGTATGTATAAATTTGATTATATAGATAGAGTGTCTCCATACAAATGTTTCGAGAAAAGTGGGTCAACTTTTTCATACAATTTTGCGTGATAAATAGTTATAAGTAATTCCTTTATAACTTCTATATTTATTTTGTCTTCTAAATTCTGCGACTTTTTTATGCGCCAAAACTCATTTTATTTATTGAATAATTAAGTATGGATACGACAAGATACATTATATGCGTAAGTATATAGAACACTAATAAAAAAACGAGTCAGCTAATTTGACAATTTACACAACTAACAACAAGTTGACCTGTTTTTGAGGCTCGATGCTCTATCTATGTAATCTAAGAAACTTTTATATTATTATTTTTTCTCTATCGATTGCTAGTTCTTCGAGCTGTGTGACCAACTCATTGCCACCTAAGCTTGCTTATCCTTTTTTTTCTATACTAAATGTGTGATAACTAATCAATTTGATCACAAAAAGAGCTTGAATGTCTGTCAAATTTTACTATTAATCAATTAAAGTTACATTTTTAAATGTGATATATTAGGGAATTTCTAATAAATCTTCATATTATCTTAAGAGAAAAAAAAAAGGTACACAAAAATATTTTTGAAACCAACACCGCGCACAGTATACCTTTTGGTATTTCAAACATTCACGTCCATGGTAAACGCTCACCATCAGATAAGTATGGCTTCAATAATAAAAAAAAAACCCCTCTGTACCGAAGGTTAAATTTGTTAAATCCAAACTGGATCCAATCATTAAACCCCCGGACCGTTACAAAGCAATCTATCGACTTTTTATCAAGCGAAACAACTGTAAACATAATTTCTTTTCAAATGTAAAATCGATAATATAATTTGTCTGCCCGAGTTTGCTACTTGGAACGTCATTATAATACAATAGCAACACTAAGCCAACCAAAATTCAGACTAACAATACAAAATTGGAATTGTTGGAGAGTTTGCCGCGCTGAATAGACTTGCGGTTCATACGTCTACTGATAACTACGTAAGTATTGATGTTAGATGCACATATGGAATACTAGCTGATGCACGCGACATTGTCCGCGTTGTATTTGTTATTCCTGTTCAGTACGTATCGATGTGTGTACCTATTTTTATTATGTCTGGGAATATTGAACCAAAATTAACAAATGACATGTCGTTCTTATTCTTTGCCTTAGGTCAAAATGACTTAAGTAGGTTGTGTACTAAGCTGTATAAGTTACTATAAATATGAATGTATTCTATTTCACTTCTAACATCTCCCTGACTCAATAAATTCTATATTTTATTATATTATTGAACTAAATAGTTTTTTTTATTATTAAATTAAGTAGTTTAAAACGACCCACCACTAGATGGAGTTACTACCTCAAATGCATTGCAGGAAGTTAGTGGATGCAGGTGATTCAGAATCGTTCTTTATGGCAGTCTATGGGGGAGGCCTATGTTCAACAGTGGATGCATAATGACTGAGACGATGATGATAATGATTATATGTTTTTTTTTTTATTTCACTGTAGGAAAGTGGTAACCGTCGCCAATAGACATGAACAGTACCATGAAAATAACACATTATAGATACTGTGTCGTCCATGATACCCTTCATACGTTGACATTTCTGAGAATTAAGGTGTTATTGCTCTGTGCTCTGTAATTTCACTGCCACATTTCACCTGATAAATCGACATTTGTAATATTAGTAAAACTAATAAAATGAATGAACTCTGAACAAAAATAAACTTATATACTGTCTATCGTAGATAAAATAAACATGTAATTATTAGCTCTGACTTTACGTGAAACATTTAGCTTAATAAATCAATCGAACTAAATTATGCGAGGCACAAATAATCCAATAAAATCACACGACAATTAAACGACATGGAAACTCAATTGGACGTCGCGTGTATATATAAATAGAGATTGTTTGTCGACACTTACGTTTTCCTCGCTAGCTAGAGGATTTATTTTTACTCAACTATGTACCTAAAAGAGGGTACTGTTTTCCAGGTATGCATATAATATTTGTCTCGAGACGAGCATTGTGAAATGATAGCTTATGGTCATATATCTAAATTATATATTTGCAAGACACGTATGCATTAGGCACGCAATTTCAGAAGTCTTATTCTGATCACATTAAATATATGTTAAAGATATTAGTGAGATATCACACGTCCTATTAGACTCTTTGTTAAAATAACAGCTGAAATTTATACCCATTCTTCTTAGTTAAAGGTGCAATAAAAAAAATACTATTCAGTAAGATTGTATTTTACAAAACAAAAAAAGACTTCAATTATGCTAAAAGCAGTTATTTTGATTTAAAAACTAAACTATTGCACCGATTTTGATGAAATTTCTTTGGGAATAATTTGTAAGTATATCCTTTTAAAACTGTCTGGTTTATAACTGACAGAGTTATGAGGTAACAAATATAAAAAAAGTATAACTAAATTGAGAGCCTCCTTGTTTTTGAAGTCAAGTTAAAAGTGCTTAAAGTTTAAATTTGAATAAAAAATATTTCTTTATTCTTTCTAACTTAAAAGCCTGTGCAAAAGAGATAAGTACCAAGTTTTGATCGTAAACGTAGTCGTCATTTTTTGGAACACCATAAACTTATACAATAATTGTATGTTGTGGCCTGCAATAGAGGCTTTATTATGCTCGAGTGGTAATCACGTATATGTAAACACAGTCTAAATTGATTCACCACTAGAGGGAGCTACGACTTCAAATAGAAGAAAATCAATGAATACAAATGGCTCTGAACCATTCATTATGGAAGTCTATGTTTAGAGCCTTCAGGTTCAAAATTTAACAGAGAAATTTGACTTCCTTTATAACTACATATACATGGTTATATTTATAATTATGTAAAATTTTATTTTAATATCTATTCAATTTTGTTCATTTTGGAAATCTTTTACAAGAATAGAGATGTATAGTTTAGTACTTAGAACATTTACTTGCAACTGTCATCTGTCACATACTTCGGTAAATGACAGTTGACAGACAGGTGGCGCTAATTTATAAGGTTATATGGAGTAGTGAATGTGCTTTAGAGGAGGTTCAGAAAATATATATTATTTTAAAAATTTGTTTTTTTATTTAATGACCAATATGACGAGGCATTAAAAAAGAAGTTTGTCCCTCTAAAAAAAAAAGTCCCTTGTCCGCGCCAACCATTCTAGTTATGTATTATAGGTATTTTTTTTATGGATGAAGATGAAATGTTAACCTTGCCTGCGCTATCGGTATTCGCTGGCAGGGTACCAGTGAAGGGTGACAGGTGAGGATGAAGGCAAGTCAGTTGGCCCACAGTGATCAATTGAACAAGAATTAACCACTATGGTTTCCAGGGGGAATCGCGTGGAGGTCGACCTGATAGGGTATATTGCTAGCAATGGGATTGTCAAATCTCATTATTAACAATCCCTTTTCCCCCGTATTATAGGTATTATGGAGTAGTATTAAAGAGGTTAATGTATATATTTGTGTTTTTGTAATCGGAAATAACCTAATCCGAAGGGTACAGCGTAGGCTGCGCTTTGCTCGTACCCTTTTGTATTAATCTATTTGAGTTGAACCTTCGGTGGTAAAATTTTGATCTTTAAAGCCGTTTGCATCTGAATTATTGTTTGTAATGTGTAATTTTACGATTTAACTTCGTGTATTGATTTACGATATATATATTTTTTTTTATTCATTTTGTATTGGTTAATAAGCTAATGTATATGATAGAAAGTCACACTGTGACGTCCGTAGTGTTCCTCATATATTCAGCCCTGAGGATCAATGTAGTATAATAAAATCATTTAAAAATAAATAATTAAAGTTATGTATCACAGCGCGATTTACTTCAGTCGTGGCGCCATCTAGTAACCGTTTTGTGAACTTAAATTTTAATACATATGAAATTGAATTAGCTTTAATAATTTATATTTATACGCTGTTTTGGATAAATATATTCATGAGTTCTCAAGAATGGCAACGCATGGGGGGTATCATGGGCGAAACAGTACACTCTGTTATGTCCATGTTACTGCTCATGTCTATAGGTGATGTTTACCACTTTTCATCAGGTAAGCCGTCAGCTTGTTTGCCATTTTAAGTTGTATAAATAAAATATTATATTGTTGTAACGATAATCAAAATTTAGTGATGGCAACTTTAATCAGACGTCATTCCGTGCGCCTATTAAGAGCCAGTACTTTTTCATTAAGATTAGATATTTCATTGCCCGCTTTGAATATGTAAAGAGCATCTTTATTACTCAATAGCTAACAAAACAGGGCGTTAAACCAACCGGACTTTCGTAATACAGCACGTAACCTAAGAGCAGCCTGTTCCCGAAACGAAATAATTGTCCCATAAAACACGGTTTAGCTTTAAAACACACAGCAATAAAATTTAAGAGTCGCTTGACATTTATTTGACAGTTGCTTTTCTTGTATCGCCGTTTGGATGTTTTAGCCCTAAAACGCTTACAGCTATTTCAATAGCCAGCTAGTATAAATCGCTTCTGTGTTCTTCCACGTGCCAATTTAAAGAAAGAAAGAATTTAGCCAAATAATCATGCTACTCGAGACAATTACATATATATTATAATCAAAACTTAAGTGTACGAATATTAGAAACCAAAAGGAAGATAATAATATGTATGTACATACCTTGTACTCGAAATGCCTTTGGTACAGATACAGGTGTTCTTTTGTTTTTCAAGAATTTATTTTAGGTAAATTCTTAGCAATAGGATTCTCAGTCTCCA